GACCGGGCAGAACCTCCTCTTGCTCTGCCCTGTCCCACGGTCACCCGTGGGCACCGTGGTTCTTTGCAGACCGGGCAGAACCTCCTCCTGGTGCTGCTCTGCCCCACGGTCACCCGTGGGCACCGTGGTTCTGTGCAGACCGGGCAGAACCTCCTCTTGCTCTGCTCTGCCCCACGGTCGCAATGCTGGGCACCGTGGTTCTGTGCAGACCCAGCGGAACCTCCTCCTCCTGCTGCTCTGCCCCACGGTCACCCGTGGGCACCGTGGTTCTGTGCAGACCGGGGGTTCCCGTGAGGCGTGTTAGTGCAAACTGTGGCCAACTGAGCCCCACTTTTAAAAAACAGGAAAAGCTGTGCTTTTTTTTTTTTTTTTCCCGGTGGATAGCGATGCTCGCTTCTAACTAGCCTCCACCGCATGACATTTTTCCTAGCCCGTGTCTGGGGGCTAGGAAAAGCGGGAGAGAAGGAAGGGAGCCCCCTTTGTTAGGAGAGCAAGCATTCCCCTTTCCAGACTCTAAAATGATGTTTCATACACTCCGTGCCATTTCACCCCAGGCTGGGTTTTTTGAGTGAAGGTGCAGAAGAGCTGAATAGTGATTTCTGGTGGGGTTTGACTGTATATATGTCAGCTCTTCTGGCATATTAGTCACTAAAAACACTTTGTTCTTGCAGGCGGGCAGTGCAGGGACAGGTGATGCTAATTACCTTGGAGTTGTCATTTTGTGGGAGTTAGTATCACAGATTTGAGTCATACTTGAAAATTAAGACTTTAAAAAGAATGCAAAGACTATATTGAAGTAGAATTTCATTGTCTTTAACATTTTATCTAGGAAATAAAAAGAAGACAACTAGCAGAAGCCGCTGAAAAGAGGCAGATGGAGGTAATGTCTGATAAAATGTCATTTGTTGAAATTATTTTTAGATAACTGGTTTATGGGGAGAATGGCTGTGGCTTCTCTGGTGACACTGGGTGTCATGTTTGGATTGTGGGAATTGTTGTTAAGTACTTTCCTGGTATTATTAATGTCGTACATTTGTACCTTTTTTATATCCATTAAGAATTTCACAGGTAGGTGCTCTAAGACCATTGCAAAGTAACTGAGCTTGTTTGGACAGGAGATATTTTACAGTAGTTTATAAAACAACCTAAGAACTGGAAGAGCAACTTCAACATTATTTTTTCCTTGTTCTAAGACTTGAAAACAAGAGATAGAGAAGTAGTCAAACAATCGCAGTGGCAATTTCAAGTGGTACTGCACTTGTACTTTTCTTAAAACTGCAAGTTGTATGCACTTGCAGATTCTTCTTTATCAACAAGGCAACAGTTTGAACATGTTTATAAGCTCACATTCCAGCAAAGATGTAGTATTAACTCAGTCTTTTGTCTTTTTAAGATTGCCAAGCTTAGATATCTTTAAAGTTAGAAGAGGTAGGATACAAATGTTGTAGCAGAACAGCCAGCCTGGTTTATTTTCCTTACCTAGCTCTAAAAAGACTTACAGCATATACTGTTATTGTAGATTTGGGATGGTTGGTGTGTCTTGGAGAGCACAGCTGAACTGTGAAGAGAAAGGATTGCTATTTATGTGAATCTTAGTGGCATTACATACTGAATTACGAATTGGCCATTGTGCATGGGACCACGTTGACCTGGTTTGAAGGGAGTTAAGTGAATAATTGGAGCAACAGCTGAGTGATGCATGAGACTCCTGAAATCCTTGATTTTGTGTCATTCTATGTACTAAAAGCAATCCACATGTTGTTTTCAACCACAAATGGGTTTTTAAGCATAACTGTAGGAAACAGCCAGCTCTTAACTGGCTGAAAAGCTTTCCTGAGAGGAGTGAGAGGTGGAGCAATTAGGGTTGTGGGTGTCCTTGAAGCTTTGTGGGACCCATTATGCTGACAAAGAAAAATGCAAATATCACTGTTGCTTCTTGTTTTCTTGGAAGACAAAGAGATAAAGCATTTTTCAGGACTATCTTTGAGGTCATTTTAGCCGCTGAATTTTGGATAATGGAGATGTTTTGCAAGCAGCCATACTTAGTTTCACCCTTGTGAGGGGACAAGAGAGTAGATCAGATGTCCTTCCTTCTCTGCTTCTCAGCTGCTCATTATCCCTCCTGACATCATGTGAGCTGTGCTTCCTTTTGGGGTGCCTCGGGCACTTTGGGGACCTGGCTCACTTGGAAAGCCAGTTTGCTAAGAGGTAGAGAACATGTGGTCTAAGTGGGTTGTCATGTTGTTATTTGCTGGTAAGATTTGTCTTGGTACCCCACTGAGAATTGAGCTTGCTGTCAGGACCTTGAAATTCAGGTGAGAACGTTGCTGGTTTGCCTTGATGGATTTTAGCATCTTTTGTATGAGTTCTGCCATGTTATTATAACCCTAAACTTAGATAAGAATCAGTTTTTAAAATTCCTTTTTTTCTAGTTCATGGTGTTAACTGTAATTCTGATGCTCCTGCCATCTAGTCTAGATTGTCACTGAACAGTTCCACAAGGATATGGAGCATGCAGTTCAGGACAGATTTTTCATTCTGCTGCCCACACACCCTGTGACATTTTGAAGGGTGGACTGTCATGCAGGGTATTTCTCAGAGATCACAGCTGGAAAGTTTAACTTCTTCACAGCCTGCTCTGGCACTACTAACACAGGTCTTTCCCTCCCCTGTTCATGAGGGTAAAAGTAGGCCCTGACAGTGAAAAAAACAGACTAAAAATTTGTGGACTTCTGGTTCTGCATCTGAGGATTAAATATCTTCACCTGGATGTAATAACAAAGGGAAACAAAACCACGCTCACTCACCTGTGGGACCAAGAGTTGTCAGAATGAGGAAATTTCCTGGAAGGGCAACCTTGATGCAATAGCAGCGTCACAAAGTGCTTCAGTCTTTCCATGCAAACCACAGTTCATAAAACAGTGTTGGCAACACTTGTGGTTTGGTTTCTCTCCAGAAAAATCACTAACTTGGTCTTACTCAAATGTGTTTTCTCCCAGGCTTCCTCTCGAGGTATTAAGAATGTTCAGTCTGTAGAGCAGAAGAAAAAGAAACAGGAGGAAATAGAAAGAAGAATGGCAGCTTCACGTCCTGGAGGAGAAGGAGGACTGAGAGTAAGTTTAAAAAAGAAACAATGTGATTCAACTAGCCGTATATTCACTGTGAAAATCTGTTTTGTCATGTAGCAGATTGAATAACTTGAGGAAAAACCAAGAGGGAGGGAGATGGAGTAGAAATGGGAGGATGTGTCATTGCCATGCAGGGTTCTCAGTGAGACTTCATCACTAGGACAGAAAGACAGCAGCACAGCAGCCATGGCAGAGCTGCTTTTCCCCCTCCCCTCTTCCCACTTTCTACACAAATGATGCATCAGTTTTGCAGGTCTCAGCACTGGGCACCTCATCCCTGGGCTGCCCTGTGCCCAGTGTCCTTTCAGTGCCAGCTGGGATTGTCTCTGTTCCTTCAGAGCTTACAGAAAACATTTGCACTCAGTAGGGCAGTGCTTTGGGGGCTGTGTGTCTCTCATTACAAAAGAACCATCCAGTGGTGGCATAAAATTACTGCTGTTGCTATGCTAATGGGAACTTTACCTCAGAAGGGCAGGCAGAGAGTTAGTGAAGAATTAGAGTCTCTCCAAAACAATAGATGTGTCTGATCATTGGAATTCAGGCTTCACAAGCCTTCATCTTTTCCCTCAGTACCACACCTGATTCAGGAGGCAGGAGTTTGTGTAAGTTGCCACTGATTCACTGCATCTCCATCACTTGCTGGGATGAAAGATTAATTGAGAATTTAAAGGTGAATGGAGAATTTATGGTAGTTTGGCAACTTTACAGTGTTTGTTTGCTTTGGGATTTTTTCCTTTCTTTTCCTTATCTTCACACAAACCTGTGGTGTGTTTTGTTTGTTTCCTCAGTGGCAGGTTGGATAACACAGGACTTGTGAGGAGGAGACGATTGATGTTTACTGCCAGTAACTGTCAGTTTCTGCAGCCCCGTGGCACTTACTCATCGTGTGGCTTTTGCTGTTTACCTCTGAACACTCAGCAGTACCTTGCCATTGTGGGACAGCGGATGTGGAAGCAGTCACAAAGAAACTTAAGAACTAATTCTGAACACTATGGTTTTGCCAGTTTCGTTTGTTTGTTTTCCATGCATGTTTTATTGCTTCCGTGCCAAGACTTCCTGTCAGCTGGAAGTGGCCTCGTGTAGTCAGCCAAAATGTGTGTACTGTCTGGTCAGTTATGTCTGTCTGTCTGTCTGTCTGTGTGTGACTGACCTGAGCAAGCTCAGGTGCCCACCTGTTGGTTTTGATGCTTATTTCAAGTTCCACAGTTAAGCTTTTCTCCAAGTCCTCATGTAGAAAGTTTTTTCACATATGTATGTATTTGAACATGTGGATGACAGCATTTCTTTTCTGTTTCTTAATGACTTGCACTGCTTAGGAATTTAGTGCCTTTTTGAAAAGAGAAAAGTAGAGTCATGGCGGGTCCTTACAAATGGAATTATTTTGTCACTAGTAAAAGAAGAAATAGAAGCCTTTATAAATCCTGTGTACTTAGATCAAGAATACCATTTTATTATGTGTATAATAATTGTTCTCGTTTTCTCATGTGGGTTTCTTTTGAGTCTGTAAGTATTTATAATGAATACTGAAAGTTAAAACATTAAATTAAAAATCCTGTTATTAGTTATATTCATTTCTTTCCACAAGAGGGCAGTGCTAACCTCAGGATTTTGAAAAACGAACAGGAAAACGGTTACTATGTCATCACTTTGCCAGTTCATTTCCAAAAGTTTGTGTTATCTGTTTAGGTGGGCTACTTACAGTGCAAAAAGGTTTTCTTTTCCCCAGAGAGCATTATGCACATTGTGCATGGGCTCACTACTGCAATTGCTGCATTTCTGACCTACTCAAGATAGAGAGGCTTTTTTTCCACCCCTTGAACTATGTATTTTATCTTTCACATCTCAGTGCTGCCCAGTGCTGTCCCGAGAGTGCAGTCTTGACTCAGTTTCCTGGCTTAGCCTTCAGAATTGAGGTGAGAAGGGAGAACTTGCAGTATTAACATAATGGTGTTTGGGCTGCAAAAAGCTGTATCCTTGGCTGAAGCCTGCCTTCAGTTTCCTTTGGTTGCTGGCAATTGCTCTCTTCAGTGTATTAACTGTTCATAATAATTCTTTTAAAGTCTAGGGAAAATGCAGATTATGAAAAGGTATCTCAGACATTAATTTGAAATGAGAATTTCAGTCTAGCACCAGAGTAGGTGTCCTGCAAGACACACATTACACTTTGTTGGTCACTTGGGGTATTTAAAACTTTAAACATTTTTCTCTTCATTTTCTGTCATGTGTTCCTTTGAAACTGCAACCATGTCTCTTGTCATCCCAGCCTCTGCTTGCATTAGTGCCATGAACACTTTCATTCAAAGGCACTGAAAGAACCTAGAGAAACCATCACATTCTTCTCTCTCTGCATCCTTTATGTGAAAGCCAGAGCTGTCTGTGCTTCTTAACAGACCTGGTTTTGAATGTTGGATTTACTCTATGGCTAAGGAACCACATCAGAGGATGTGGGAGTGTGTAGTTCTAGATTATAAATCACCCACAATGCTGTTTCAGAAGATGTTCCTATACCATCCATATCCAATTGCCCAAATGGCCGGGCTTAGCTGAGTGGGAATTATTTAAGTAAATAAAGCCCTTTACTGTTGGTTTAAGTTTTGTTTCAGTTCACAAAGCAGAAACTGCTGCAGATCAGTAGTGTACAGCTGATGGCAGCCTGCCATGTGCCACTGAACAGCAGGGCTGGGAGCCACGCTAGCTGAGAGCTTCTCTCTCCTTGTGGATGTCTTTCCTGTCTTTCTTATTGCTTGGTGCAGCAGTGGGTTTGTGTGGACCACAAAAAGAGTTTTGTCCTTATTCCCCTCAATCCTGCATGTTTACTTCACCTCAGAGGCTGTTACAATGCACCTTTTCAAATAGATTAGCTAGATGGTCGATATTTTGTTTACATCAGTACAACTCTTTTTTTATCCCTTCATCCTCTGAAAGGATGAAATATTTCAAAACCTGGCAGGCCAGAGCCCAGTGCTGGTAAACTGGACTGAAAGGCTGACTCTCCATGACCGTGACAGCATCATCTTTGTTGCAGTAACAAAGTGAAACAATTTGCCTCTCCATATGGTTAAATACAAGGTTATGCTAGAATGCTTGTAGCAGGAAATTCCTGAGATTTGGGAAAACACAGGAGCTGTGTGTGCACAAGGACGGGCAGCATCAGTGGGCCCTGAGGAGCACAGGTGACTTCAGCGGGTGGATTTGGCACAGTGACAACACAAAAGTGTTGGGAATTTAGCTGCTGGAAAATGGAAAAGTACAAAACCGTGGCTAATTCCAAGTCCTGCACCTGCACAGATAGTGTGTCCTTGGGCCTAGCTGTGGTATAATAACAAACAGTGAAAGAGACATGAGAAAAGGGAGATGTAACCCCTAAGGAATGAGGATGAGTTAATGCTATAGTTTAACCAATAGATTGCTTGGCTTACAGAATATTCATAAGCTTATTATTTGCTGTGTAAGTGTTTGATACTTTCTTTAATAAACTGGACCAGAAAGACCTGAGGGACCGGGACTGGACCGGACCTGAAGGGCCTGTGATGAACCATGTGGTGTCCTGGTCCTCTTCCTTCGACACAAAAGTACTTGAGAGGCAGCTCATCAGGCACAAGCAGTGCCAGCAGTTTATCCAGAGTCTGGTGCTACAGACATATTTTATGAAAAATCCTTTTGCTAGGATCTTTTTCTCCTGAGAAGCTGAGAGGCCTCAGAAACGAAATGTAAGCAATGATTATCTGCTGCTGTGGAATGCAACAGGTGCATCTGGGATCTCTAGGAGACACTTCTGTAACCCTGTGGTGGGGCAAACAGCTCATCTTCCAGATCTAAAGTGATGTAATAAATGTGTAATAAATTCAGGATTGAGTCTTCAGTTACATGAAACTTGTTGTACCTTCCCACACATATACTGCCTTGTCATGTCACTCATCCACACCAACAATCCTTTAACTAGCTGCCAGAGATTCTCCATATTGTCTCTAAATTGCAGTTGGACAAAAAGGTGGTACCAAAAAGGAAGAAGCAATTATCCCTGTAAAAAAGATGTGAAAACCCCTATCCTCAATCAGTGATGTAAATAATCCTGCTTAGACAAAAATCTCCAGGAAACAGCAGGAGGACAGAATGGACTTCCTATAAAGAGCAATAAGAGATATCACAATTACATTTCCAAACTAGTTTTGAATGGCTTCCAGCATGATGAGTCATATTTGACATTATACAATGATTTTTTGTAAATAATTTTACATTATTTATCCATTTTAAGATTAGGCACAGTTTATTCACAGACATCTCCCATGGGGTTTGGTCTGCAAGGACTTTGAGAAAAGGCTTTGTTGTAGCTGCTATCACTGGAAGTTTTTAGGACTTCAGCCTCCCCAATATTCACATTCAGCCAATTTACTCAGCAAGACAGTTAAAACCACTGCATCATGGAAAATGCCCTCAGTTTGTTCTGCCCCTGTCACTGCAACAAGGGCTGTATGCCTTTGAGCAAGATTCTGCTGCTCAGCTTCAGCTTTATAAATTGAGCCATAGGTTCCCAACAAATTTTCCAATTCCTACATTGCTACAGGACCTAATTCACGCTGAAAATATAATTACCAGATTAGTAACACTTACCTCCAACCCCCTCTTCCAGACTAACCAGCTTACAGCATTTCTTTGGTTGTTTATTTTATTGATGCTTTTATTTCCTCCTCTGTTATTCACACCCACATCAATGCAGTCAAAAGCAGCAAGTCCCACCTGCATGGTTTTACATCAGGTGGTACCGGAAATACTTTAAAATAAAATCCTATAGTCTCCCATTCTAGAACTGGCAAAGTTGAAGTTTTCAGTCAGGAAGTGTTTTAATGTGATTTTTTTAAAGACATTTGAGTACCTCAAAACAAAAAAAAAAAGAGACTATTTTGACACATACAGTCCAAGCACATAAAGGGATTCATGTTTAGTTAAAAATCCCTGTTTGGGTTTACTGGGACTGTTGGAGTTTACTATTAAAATAAACTTATGAATACCTTTTTTCCAATTATCTGCTCTGATTTATTAATATGTAAACAACCACAAATATTTAAAAAACCAACATCATAATAACAACACAAACTTAAGTCTTGGATGATGGAAATAAAGATTGAACTTGAAGATCTTGGAACTCTTTTCAACCTCAATGATTCTGTGAAATCCAACTAATTATGTTTAACAACCTAGCCATTATTTCTAAACAAACATCTCACATTTTCACGAGTGATTTTTTTTCCTTCCCTTTCCACTTGAAAACAGATCTCTGAGTGCTTATATTAAGATCATGATTTTTTTTCAGCTATACTACATTTTCTATAAAATTATGTTGCTTGTGTTCTGCTTTCTGCCCCCTTAAGGAGGACAAATGACAACTGCTATGACAACTGAGACTTCCTATGGCTTTTCAAAAGATCTATTGCTGCATATGCGTTTAATCTCTCTAGAAAGTGGTTAAAAATAAGAATAAAAGGCTGTAACTTTGGAATTATGTCCTGCTGCTTTGTCTGCTGCACCAAGCAATTGTGAGCTGTTTGTATTCAGCAGGTATTTTTGGATGGTCAGGTAGCTTTTCCACAGAAGTGAGACACAATGTGCTGATCTTAATAAGGCATGGAACATGAAAGATGGGCTTGATCCTTCCTAGCCCACAGACATTTTTCTGTTAAAGACCACAGGAACAGATCATAAGGCCATTAAAAAAAATTAACATCGGAAAATAGAGAAAAATACTAGTCAGGACTAAAAAAAATATATTTACAGGATGCTTTTGAATTTTTTTCCCTGCGAAGAAAAATCAGTTTTCAAAAAAATATGGGTATTTCTGTGTTATCTGTTTGCTCCTTTGTGCAGCTCATTATTAGGGCAGCGAGCAATGCTGTGCATTGGAGGCATCCAGTCAGTAGCAGCAAAGTGCTGCCACATTTCTCCTCACAGAGAAAAGCAAGGCACAGATTCAGTTTAGATTAAATATATAATATATATTACATAATATATATAATTACATAATATATATATTACATATAATATATATTATAATTATATATTATATAATAATATATAATTAAATATATAATATATATTAAATAATATATTAATGTATATATTAATATAATATATATTAAATATATTAAATATATAGATTTAATATAAAAATATATATTAAGTATAATATAATAAAGTAATTAATCAGCCTTTTGATATCCATGGAATCCTCCTCATCATTCTCTCCCCCTTGTCGGAGTCGCCTTTGATTTACAATAGCAAAGCAGAGATGAGTGATCACAAATAATAAGAGATTCAAAATGTAGGAGTATTTTAAAAATTTTATTTCATTTTTAAATTTATACAGTCAGTGAAACAATCCTATAAAATGATTTTTCTAGGATGTTACAAGGCACATAAATTACCAAATATAAACATAGAAAAGTAGCCAAAATAATGAACCAAGCCCACATACACCTTTAGCTCTATTAGAGGTGTGTGAATGATTTTTGAGAATGCAAATCGCTCTATTTACAGGGTAATGAATATTTCACATTTAACAAT